CGTCTCCGTCAAGGGAAAAATCTGAGGTTGTTTCTGAAGGATCACCTTGACTGGGTAAGTTTGATTTGGGGAAAGCTTTGCATTCCAGTCTGATTTGGGGCCTCTTCGTTTCTCGATTCCAGGAACTGCACACTAATCTTTAATCTTCGTCCTCTCTGTTTCCTATTCAGACAGTATCCACCCACATCCCAAACCCTCCAGGGTCATCTCTCACGTTTACCCGGGCTCCCCGAGCCCTCAGCCCACTCTGACCCCCAGCCTCACTTCCCTGAAGCTTGGGCTTCTTTATGTCTTCCACACTTTGTGTGCGTCTCTTACTCTCGCTGTCCTGTTCTTCATGCTGATGGAAGAGCCCCACATTCCTTCCCGATGCCATGAACTTGAAGTCCTGGTAGGCGGTTCTAGTCCTGCTCTGCCTCTCGCTCTCTGAGACCCCGGGCAAGTCACACAGCGTCGCTGTGACTCACTTTCTTAACCTGTAAAATGGAGGTGACCGTCACTGTTAAGGTGAGGCTGGTGCGGTAGAGCCAGCAGGCTCCACGTGAAAGTGCTTTGTAAATTCTTAGGTGTCCCTAAACAACAGAGGTTATTTTTGTTGCATTCATTAGTTGTCTGGAACACCCCTAACAGGGCTGCTTTTCTAGTACTGCCAACTTCTTGCTCGAGCCTCTTTGAACTTTTGATGTCTCCATTTAAGACCAGGGTGGTATTCTTCACTTCCTCCAGAGACCAAAGATCAGACAGACCAGTGAGATTTGTCTGAAAGGAAGCTGTGGAGAGCTGCTTATCTTGTACTCTGTTCTGAAATAGCCAGTGGTGAAAAGTCCACACAGCTGGCAGAGGGACAGCCCCTGATCACCAAAAGCAGGGCCCCAGCAGGAGGACAGCTGCAGTGTAAGCCCTGGTGAGTCCCTTTGGCCTCTTCTGTTTAGCGGACTCTGGTTTTGCTAGGGATGCCTCAGGTTGAAAAAAGCGAGGAAGGAAGAATCCATTTTGCCAACGGTCCGATCCAGGAAAGATGAAAGAGACCTTGGCTGGGTATATTGAAAGAGTCACAGCATTGTTAATTAGTTCCTGACGTTTTATGAGCACTTAAAATATACATCAATTTATTTAAATTTCATTTATGAAGTGTCCCCACTTTACATATAAGAAACTTAGGCTCATGTAGTTAAAGTAGTTATAACTGTCATAGATAGTTATAGTGCCTTCTGTACATCAGGTGCTTTACATCCATTTAGTCCTTTTCAGTAACCTCATGAGTAGTTGTTATTTCTGTCATGTAGATAAATTATCAGAGGTTTAGAGTTTAAGGAACTTGCTCAAGATCTCACAGCTAATAAATAGTAGGAGTGGAATTCAGAGTCACCAAAGCCTTACTTTTCCCACTATATCACGTTGCCTTATTTTTAGATAAAAAGGAATTGAAAAGATTTAAATCAATACATTTATTGAATCCACTCTGTGTGGAAAGCATGCAGATAGATGATTTTGCCTGCAAAGAAGTATAAAACACACACAAAAGGAGTATAAAGCACATTCTTTACATTCTTTGGAGTCCATCTGAAGAAAAAAGGCATAAATGTATGAAAAAATAAATAGCACTCATTGTATAATTATTGGGACCAGCAGTGTGCAGGGCATTACATTAAGCCCAGTGACTGGCAGGAACATGCTTCTGGGTAGCCATGGGGAATTACACACAGTGAAATCATAGTCATAAAAATGGTATCAGAACACAGTGTACACTATTATCTGAATGAAAGAAAAAAAAAAAAAAAACCTTCCCCCATCTGGACCAGAGGTTCTCAAACCTTGCAGATCAGACAGATCTAGGGTTGTTGTTGTTGTTATTGTTTTTTGGTTTTATTTTGTGGTTTTTTTTTTTTTTTTTGGTGGTTCTGGGGTTTGAACTCAGGGCCTACACCTTGAGCCACTCCACAAGCCCTTTTTTGTGTTGAGTGTTTTCGAGATAGGGTTTCTCAAATTATTTGCCTGGGTTGGTTTTGAACCACAATCCTCCTGATCTTTGTCTGCTAAGTAGCTAGGACTACAGGCATGAGCCACCAGTGCTTGGCAGATCTAGGGCTTTAAAAAAAAATTAATTGAAGGCCAGGGGTGTAGGTCAGTGGTAAAGTGCTTGCCTGCCGTGCTCAAGGTCCTTGGTTCCATCCCCAAACATCTCTGTGAATGGAGGAAATACAGTTTTAAAGTTTCCCAGGTGATTGGGAGGATATGGGTTTAGAATAGGATCTAAATTCCACAGGGACCACTGTTCAGGCAAGTCACTGACTGAAAAGTGCTTGGTAAGGTACTAGTCTGTGAGTTGTTCTGAGGCATCCTGTGATTGGATTCCAGGTGATAGATAGGGATAGTCCTCAGAGATGAGAGGTTGGAAAGACTTGGGAAAGCTCCCAAGAGGATTTGGAGATCTCACTGGGCCTTTATGGATGGAGAGGCTCCTGGACAGGCACTACCATGAATTGTTGACAGAGTGAGCAAAAGAAGGTAGAGACACCTGGACTGATTTCCTTCGAGAATTTCATGGCATTGATTAGAAATTAGTCTGAATGCTCTGTATGAACATCTCTTTGGCAAAACTTGCAAATCAGTTGGATTTTCCATCTCATCCTACTTGAGCATCGATTTGTATGAACCTAGGGAGCACAGTCATTTTCATGTTAGCCTCCCTCTGGCCAATTATCTTCCTTAGGTGTTTATGTATTTCCAAGCAGAATTTAGGTGATCACCCTCCCAGGACTTGCCAGGACCACCAGATAGACCTGTCCTCCTGCTACCCCTATAGTGTTCTCAAATGCACTTCACTGGTGCCTGTCCCAAGCACTTCTCTCTGTGAGGGGTAAGACAAAAATCCCTTCATCCTGGTCACTGAATCCTGAAACCTGACTCATCTTTAGCTCTTCCCTCCCCTTTTGACTCTCTAAATCAGTTGTCAAACATTGTTGTTTCTGCTTTTCTTAAAATCATCACATATTTTCTAGATACTTGCTAAGAGCCAAATACTATACTAGGTGTTTTTTTGTTTTTTTTTTTTTTTTGGTGGGACTGGGTGCTTTAAATGTATTATTTCCCTTTGTCTCCATAGCAACCCCAGGAGGATGAATAGGATTCTGATTATGCAGATGGGAAATTGGGCGTAGAGAGATCAGGTAGCTTACACATGGCAGGCAGAAAAGGCACTAAAAAAAAAGAAGGGTCTTTCAGACTTCATTTTTTACATATCCCCTACTTCATTTCCAGAGCAGATTCTACCTCCTTAGTCTAGTGCTCGAGGACTGCTATCCAGGTCTTGTCACAGCTTTTCCTCCCGTGTCCGTCACTAGCTACCCGTTTCTCACATGTCACACGCTCTGTCTCAGTACCCTGCATGTACTCACACTTTATTCTTTTTGGCAGTTGGCTTTTCCATCTTCCCCCGCCCTCTACACCAAACTTGGGGAGCACTCTCTCTCGTCAGAACTTCTGTGGTATTTTATCTCTCTTCTGACAGTTAAGACCTGCAGCTGCTTCCTTGTCATATGGTTGATATGTGTCTTGTGCATATGCCCTCAGCAACAAGGGAGAAAAGGTCAGGGTCTATGACTAAGTCACTGTCATGCTCTATCCGTCTGGCTAAACAATCTGCTGACTGCATTGAGAGGTTAGTTTTTTCTTTTTTCTTTTTTTTGGCAGTGTTGGAGTTTGAACTCAGGGGCCTCACACTTGGTAGGCGGGTGTTCTACCAGTTGAGCCACTCCACCAGCCTTTTTTCATGTTGGGTATTTTCGAGATAGAGTCTCATGAACTATTTTCCCAGGCTGGCTTTGAACCTTAATTCTCCTGATCTCTGCCTCCTGAGTAGTGAGCATTGTAAGTATAAGCCACCAGTGCTCAGCTGCTTGTATCTTTTCAAAAAGAAGTGGACTTACTTTAAAATTTGCTTCAGAGAAATAAGAGGAGGAGTTAAGTCTGTAGTCAAAAGAAAAATATTTATTACCTTCCAACAGTAAATAGAATGATGATGGTAGGCTTCTTTGAGGTTTTCCACTGGACCAGGCAGTTGGAAGCTGGCAATGAGGAAATCTGCATGTAATAATAGTACTGTTTGTAAAAACAAAGAAGAGAGAGAAGGGAAGGGAAGAAAAGAAAAAGAAAAGGGCTGGAGATATAGCTCAATGGTTGAGTACTTGCCTAGCATGAGCCAAGTCCTGGGTTTGATCCCCAGCATCACAAAAAAGCTATAATAAAATAAATAGAATAGCTGAGCATGGTGGCGCACAACTGTAATCCCAGCTACACAGGAGGCAGAGGCAGGAGGATCTTGAGTTGGAGGCCAGGCCAAGAAAAGTTAGCAAGACCCTTTCTCAAAAACAAAGGGTTTGGGGGTGTAGCTCAAGTGGTAGAGTGCTTACCTAGCAAGCACAAGGTTCTGGGTTCAATCCCCAGTACCACAAACAAAATAAAATAGAAGAAAATGAATAATAGTTTTTTGCTTTTGACCTTGAGTGGCTCATTAAATCTCTCAGGACCTTGGTTTCTTCATCAGTAAAGCACATGCATATACTAGGACTGGCAAAACAATCTCTAAGGTTTCTTCTTTGCTCAGGCATGCTTTGACTTGAACTCTCTGATCCCTCCCATAGCGTCTTACAGGAAGCAGAATAATTTAATGATCAACCATGTGGACCCACAACTCGGTGTCCTTTTGGATGCTTTTGATTGCAAGCAATAGAGATCTCAATTCGGGAACCTGAGATTGGGAGGACCAAGGTTGGAGACCAGCTCAAGCAAAAAAGTTACTAAGACCCCATCTCAACCAATAAGCTGGGTGTAGTGGAGTGTAGGAGGATCAATGTCCAAAGCTGACTCAGACAAAAACTCAAGACCCTATCTGAAAAATAACTAAAGCAAAAGCTCAATGGTAGAGTTCCTGCCTAGCACGCATGAGATTCTAAGTGCCACAAAAAACAACACCCTCCCCCACCCGGAAATCTCAATTCTGTTTCTGTTGATTTAAATAAGAAAGGGAATTTATTGACTCAGGTAACTAGAGAGTCTAGGAGTGAGTTTCCCCTTTTGAGCAGAGTCAGTCATGGAGTAGACAGACCTGGATTTACTACCCATAACCAAGGTTGCTTGGGAAAGTTATTCGGCCTCTCAGTGCCTTAGTTTCCTCATGTATAAAACACATCTTTACCTACCTCAGAGAGTTGAGATAGTGAAATGAGCTTAGTACAGTGCTGACAATAAATATTAAATCTCAGAGGGTGCCGTAATCTGTGTTGTAATCTCGATAGCAGTTACTGCTATGCCTGGCACATGGAAGGGGTTGTATACATGCTTGTTAGTAGGTTTTGACGAGTATGGAGGTTCTCTCTCTTCTTTACCACCATTTCCTCACCCACCAGGAAAAAAGAAATACAGCCCTTAAATGTTGGCAAAGTCAGTGTGGCAAAGTAGATGATGTGCATGATTGGATGAGTGGGTGGCAGGAAGGATGGGGTGATAAGGATGTGGGAAAGTAGACAGGTGTGGTACATGACCAATGTAAGCAAAAGAAGCTACAAAGAAACCAGCAAGTGGCCCTTCTGTGTTCCACCCTCCAGCCATCAAGTTCAGTACCACACAGCCACACAGTCCTTTGATCCAGCTGGGGATGAGATGGGGGCCAGCCAGTCTATGAGCTTTCCAGCTATCTCGGGACCCCACCTGGTAGGCTGTGGGGATGTGATGGAGGGTCAGAATCTCCAGGTAAGTGTCTCCAGCTCTGTCTCTACATGGCTCCACTGTTTCTGCCTGTGCCCGGACTTAGTGACAACAGGTCTGAGTGTGCAGTTCCAGGTGGGGAAGCTGAGTTAGGACCCGGTCTGCATTTCCTTATCAGCCCCCTGGTCTGTCTTCCCTGACCTTTTTCTTCCTCTTTCCAAATACTAGAACCTTCCCAAATGACAGAGATGTGTTCTTTCTCCAGCTAGGAGGAAAGGGGGGGGCTCTAGACCATCTCGCCCATCTTGAGGGCAGTTGCCTGATCTGGAAAGGTTTTCAGTCTCATGCTAATGTGAGTGAATGAGAGGAAGAGCAGGGCTATGGGCCATCGCCCTTCACTTGCATACCTAGGTGGGAAGATGGTCTCCTCTCCTGCTTCCCTCCAAACTTTCCTTCCACCAGTTTCTAGGTTTTTGTTCTGTTGGCCCTTGGACTCACCATTCCCCTGTAAGAGGCAACCACCTCCTGGTGGCGTCTCACCTACTCCCCTGTAAAATGACTATGCTGCTGCTTTCTGAGAGCCAGCCCGGAGGAGTGGCCTGGGTCACTCACTGATGCCACCCTATTTAGCACAAGGGCAAATCTTTAGCACCCCAGGCTCCTCCAAGCCTGGGCTCAGGGCCAGATTTAAATCTTTCAATGTCCCAAGCACTCAGAATATTTTAGTGCCCTCCCAAGATGTAAATCAAAATATAGTTGGCTATTTAAAATAACAAAGGCCTTCCACATATGCTAAAAATATAATTGCCTTTTTTCCTGGATTTTCTAAATGTAAAATTTAGATATATTGAAGAACCCTAAGTTTCTCTGTGTTGGTACTCTGCCTGGCTAGTGTTCCAATCGCCTGTGTCTGCTGGAAACCTAGCAGTGCCTCAGCTTCTTGTGCTGAGTAGCTACTCTCTTCTTTCCTACAGGGAAGCTTCTTTCGACTCTTCTACCCCTGCCAAGAGACAGACAAGACCTTGGAGCAGCCCCTCTGGATTCCTCGTTATGAGTACTTCACTGGCCTGGCTGATTACCTGCAGTTTAATAAGCGCTGGGCAGGGTTGCTACTCAACCTGGCTGTGGGTAAGGCCGGCCTGGCTGCAGATGCTTTCCCAGTTGCTTGGTTACCAGGAAAATCCCATAGATGATACCCAGGTAGATACAGTACCTTTCAGCTTATAAATCCAGCCTTCTCCTGATAGGTGGTATGGAGAGTTAGGAGAGAATTTCATACATAAATTTGGTGACTGAGATACACTTCCTGGATTCAATCCAGATGAATTTCCCTGTCTGAACATCTACCTTTGCAGGGCTGTAGCATGGGATATATATAAAGCCTCTAGTAGTGCAGTGCTTGAGATATTGTATGGGCATATAAGTGATGGCTATAACTCCTTTATTCAGCATGTATTAAACCTCACCCTGTGTCAGCCGCTGTGTAGGTTAGATTTTTTCTTTCTTTTTTTTTTGGTGGTGCTGGGACTCTTAACCTCAGTCCTCATATATGTTAGGCAAGCATTCTACCACTGAGCTACATCCCCAGCCCCTAGATAAGACATTCTGAACCCTCAGGGAGCATATAGTCTCCTGCAGTTCTCCTTCCAGCCCTCCCCTCTTCTGTTTCGGATCTTACTGAATCATTCACTTCTTCTAAAGCCCCACCCCAGGAACTCTGCTTACTGCCTTGCCATCTCAAGGATCTGTCTTCTATTTGATCAGTACTGCCTCCTTGGATTTTTTTTCTTGAGGTTCTGGGGATGGAACCCAGGGCCTCCTGCATGCTACACTTTACCACTGAACTACACCCCAATCTTGCTCCTTTGGATTTATCTTGTTTTTTTATTGTGTTCACTCCCCCTAGGGAAGAAAAGAGGAGAGAACAGGTGATGATTGCCCTGAGTGGAACAGGTGCTATTGGTAGTTCTCCAGAGGGGAGGAACACAAGTGCCCACACACACCTATGGCCAGGCTGCCCTTGGAATTACAGTTCCAGGGCAACCAGAGATTCTATAACCCATGTCTCTGCCAGGATCTTGTCGCCTGCCTATTAGCTGGAATGGCCCCTTTAAGACAAAGGACTCTGGATACCCTTTGATCATCTTCTCCCATGGCATGGGAGGTTTCAGGTAAGAGCTTTTGCCTCCTGGACCTTGCCATATTCTTTGCCTAGAGACCACTGCTAAGTCTTAGCTTATTCTCTAATGGCAGAATAACAGACATTTCCATCTGCTAGCTGTCTTATCCACTATCTGCTCCATACCATAGCATTAGAAATCCCTTCTCTAGAAGCCCTTTCCCCAGCCCTTTTTGTGGAGCCTTTCAGAAGCCTTCTCTTGTCATGTTTAAGCAGTTACATACATGTATGCTTTTCATTGGATTCCTATATTACAGCTCAGAAGTACTAGGAAGTGCTTAAGATTTGTAGTAGGAGGGTCATTTATTCAACCTGTGTTGAGGGACCACTCTGTGTTTGGCAGTGGCATGGTGGAGAATAAGATAGGCTTTCTCCCTGTGCTCACAAACTCCAGCCATATCACTTTTGTCCTGTATGAGCTGGGGAAAGTTGTAGAACTCTGAGCCTGGATTTCAACATCTGCCAAATGGGGATGCTGCTTCCACAGGATGGTTTACAAGGATTCAGTTGGATTGGAGCCTACTATGTGCGTATCTGTGTCAGTTTTCCTCTTCCTTTTTCACATGGAGGGACATGATGATAGTAAACTAAGATCTCTTTCAACAGGCTTTGGGAAACAGGCTTAAGTTTCTAATTTAGTATCCATTCAGGATTCTTCCCATGACTTTTAATTTCTACACCATGGTGTGCTATTTAGCTTAATAATTGTAGCATGTGTTCCTAGTTAAGCTTGTCAGTGCTTTCTCTGTTTGTTCATCTGTCACCTTGTATGTCTCGTCTATTCCCCAGCGTGTCACACATCTCAAAGGTCTCCCCACCCCCAAACCGTTGTCCACACTGTAGCCAGGGAGATCTGTTTTAAAACCAAATGAGCTTGTCATTCCAGCATCTTGGACAGTGCCTAGCTTATAGTAGATGCTCAATAAGTAGTTATTGACTAAATGAATGTTAATTAAGTTTTAATTAACTTTTTAATAACTCTTTGAAGTTAATTCCATTTTTTTGTGAGTAACGAGGGAGAGTTTATTGAGATATAAAAGTGTAAAGTGGGAGAGTAGAGCCCCCAGAGTTGGGGGGAGGGGCTTCCAAGAGAGAATGTCCCTAATTCCATTCTTTTCATGCTCTTACTTAGATGAAGTTCCACAACAGTTTCCAGGCTCATTTCTTGCTACTTGCACCCCTCCAGCTTTGCAGACAAACTGACCTTCTTATAGTTACTTAAAGGCAGTATGTTACTCCCTGCCTCAGGTCATCATCTGGCTGGTTCCTTTTCCTGGAATATCCTTGTTTTGCTTATCTTCTCTTTTCCCTTTCCCTTGTTTGTATGGTCAGTTCCAAACTGCTTTCAAGTCTTAGTTTCCATGACATGTTGGTTTTTTGATTTGGGGTCTTGCTATGCAGCCCACACTGGCTTCAAACTTACAGTCCTCCTGCCCAGACTTCAAACAGTGGGATTATAGGTATAAACCATCACACCTGGCTTTGATGCCACTTTCTTAGGATTACCTGACCTGTATGTTATTTTATCAGTTTTCCAGTCAATCTGTACTTTTCAGTACTTAATTGTAATGAAATTTTTTTACTTGTGTAATTATTCTTTAATATCTATCTTCTCTAGTATAGTGAAAGCTTTGTGAAGGCAGATAAATATTTATCAACTGAATACAAGGGCTGTGTTTATTGGGTTCTTTTTTTTTTCCTTTTTGTTTTTGGTGCTACCAGGATTTGAACTCAGAACCTCATGCTTGCCAGGCAGGTGCTCTACCATTTGAGCCACTCTGCCAGTTCTTGGTGGGTTCTTATTCATTCAGCAGACATCTGTTGAGCACCTACTCAGTGTCAGTCGCTGGCCATGAGAGGAAGGTGTGACATACAAAGATAAACAAATCAAGGAATTCATGTGTATTAGAGGAGCTGGCACATAGATTTATATGGCTAGCCCATAGCCAGAAGTGGAGAATAGATGTGGAGATGAGAGATGAGGCTAGAAAGGCAAGTAGATGGTTTTCAGTGTTTTCCTTTTTTTTGAGACAGGGTCTCCCTGTGTAACCCAGGCATGATCCTTCCAAGTGGTGGGATCACTGGCATGTACCATGATATCCAGCTTCAGTGTTGCTTCCTTATTCAATAAACTGAGTACCTGCTGTGTGCCAGGGCTTGTGTCAGGATTGAGCATTCAGTGGTGAATAAGACAATCCTTGCCTGAGTGGACGTCTGGAAAATTTTAGTCTAGCAGAGAAAAGAAACTAAGAAACTTTCCCTCCTACACCCATAGGTATGTTCTAGAGAGCAGATAAACGCATGACTTTGGAGGTGGGCTTTTTGGTTTAAGAATCTCTATTGAGACTTTACACCTCAATAGACCAGGGTGAGTCAATTATAAATATTCTTCATCTGCCAAGGTGAAATTCTAAGGAAAAGGGCAAAGTGGTGAAAAGGACATTATTTCCTCTTATTACATCTCTAGTTAATTTGACTGTCATAGACCTGTGGCTTCCCACCCAGGGGGGAGTGTATACATTTAAATACTACCTCACAGTTTGCAGTGTGCCATTGTCTTATGTGGTTCCCACACAGTCTAAAGCAGATAGGTGGGGATGTATGCTTTATAGCTGAACAAGCAGGCTCTGAACAGTAGACTTACCCAAGATTACACAGTTTGAACTGGGAAGGGATCAGACATTTCTCTGCTTCTTCAATCCAGCTCACTACCTCCCCAGAAAAGTAGGAGAAGATGAAAGAAAACTTAAGAAACTGAGCTGGGGACATGGCTCAAGTGCTAGAGTGCTTGCGTAGCAAGCTGAGGCCTTGAGTTCAAGCCCCAGTATCCATCCCCCCAACAAGAAAAGAGAAAAGAAAACTTAAGAAACTGACCTTTCAGACAGGTGCTGGTGGCTCACACCTGTAATCCTAGTTACGAGGGAGGATCAAGGTTTAAAGCCAGTCCAGGTAAATAGTTCACGAAATCCTTTCTTGAAAAAAACCTTCACATAAAAGGGCTGATGGAGTGACTCAAGGTGTCACTTCTTTTATAATCTTGTTCCACCATGTGTGGCTTCTGTTTCTAAAGTTATTTCATGATCTGGGGTGGCTGCTTTAGTTCTAGCCATTATGTCTACATCTCAGGTAGTAAGAAAGGAACATTCTGTTTTTTAAAGGAAACTTCCTGGAAGTTCTATATAACACAACTGCTTGTATCTCACTGGCTAGTACTACTCTATCCATTATAGTAGTGTCTAGCTCCATGTACTTTTGAACCCCTAAATAATAAACTACTTTATAAACTTAAAATTTTGAGTATATCTTGAAATTACAATAGGTTAAGTAGATTATAATAGGTTAAGTAAAATTTAATAGCTATAATAAACTATGATAGGTTAAGTAAAATATATTGTTTAAGTTAATATTATGTTTTGTCTTACTTTTTTTTTTTTTCTTTCCCATTTTGGAGATTGGATTCAGGGCCTTTTCTTGCTGACAAGTGTGCTACAGCTTGAGCCATGCCCCCAGTTCTTACTTTTTTTTTTTTTTTGTCTTTTTGGTGGTGCTGGGGTTTGAGCCCAGGCTTGCTAGGCAGGTGCTCTACCACCTGAGCCACTTCGCCAGCCCTTTTTTTGTGTTGGATATATTCTTTTCTTTTTGGAGGTACTGGGGTTTGAACACAGGGCTTGTGCTTGCTAAGCAGGCACTCTACCATTTGAGCCACTCCACCAGCCCTGTTTTGTGATTTTTTTTTTTTTGTGATAAGGTTTCGGTACTATTCGCCCAGCCTGGCTTTGAACCTCAATCCTCCTGGTCTCTGCCTTCTTAGTAGCTAGGATTACAGGCGTGAGCCACTGCTCCCACTGTCCCAATATTTTTATTTCCCATCTCATAATAGGAAAAAATGTCCACTGAAAACCTTTAAATTACTTTGAAATTTAGCACTGTATTTCGATTGCACCCTACTGGACTAACATGGCTACAGGGGGAGGCTGGGAAATATAATATTTTGATGGCTTGACAGTGTTGTCAATTATTGAGAAGGAAAGGAAAAATAGGTGCTTCTTTCTGGAAAGTTGGAGGACAACAAAACAATTCACATGCAAAATTGCATATGAGTTGCATATTTAAAAAGTAGCCACCTGGGTGCCAGTAGTTCACACCTGCAATCCTATCTACTTGGGAGGCTGAGCTCAGGAGGAGAGCTGTTCAAGGTCAGCCCAGGCAAAGAGTTTGAGAGATCCTATCTTGAAAATAACCAGAGCAAAATGGACTGGAGGAGTGGCTCAAGCAGTAGAACACCTGCTTTGCAAGTGTAAAGCCCTGATTTCAAACCTCAGTGCCACAAAAAAAAAAAAAAAAAAAAAAAAGCCAGACTTCCTGTCCTCAGGGACCTTAACAACTAGTTTGGGAAACATGACAATAAAACCTCCATTGGAGTAGCCAGAATACATTTGGAGGTGGGGCTGTACTGATTCAGTGGGGTTGGAAGACACTGAGGATTGATTGTACCTCCCTAGAGGGAGGGTACAGGGAGCCTGGTAGAATGAGGGAAGGCTGTCTAGACAATACTTCCCTGGTCAGTCTTTTGAGATGGCCACCAGCAGAGCATAGTTGGAAGAAAGTGAAAGCTAGGCCATTCTTTTGATCCCTTCTCCCTGTTCCTTTGTGAATCTCTAGGACGGTGTATTCAGCCTTCTGCATGGAGTTGGCTTCCCGTGGCTTTGTGGTTGCTGTGCCAGAACACAGGTGAGGGATGACACCCTCACCTCATGGATTGGGTGCCTGCAGTGAACTAGGATATAGGCTAGTCCTCTATCAATGTATTATTTGTGTTGTTCTTGTTGTTGTTGTTACAGTGCTGAGGATTAAACTTAGAGCTTCAGACTTGCTAGACAAGTGTGCTACTATTAAACTACACCTCCAGCCTCAATGTATTATTTCCAGTTCTCCCAATAACATGCAAATACTTTACTCATTTTAATAAGGTTCAAAGATGTTAAATAACTTTCCTAAAGTGACACAGCTGAGTCAGGGTTCAAACCCATGTTTGTTTCCAAAACCCACGTTTTTTTACTTTCCTTTGCCCCCAGATCTCCTTTCCTACTAGCCAAAGAGGGTATCTAAGTATCTTGGTTAGAAGGGTGGAGCTAGTAAAAGGGAAAAGTAATCTCATGAGTGTCTTCTCCTTCCTCTTTGATGGCATATATATTTCAGGGACAAGTCAGCTTCAACTACCTATTTCTGCAAGCAGGCTTCAGAGGAAAACCAGCCTACCAATGAGTCACTAGAAGAGGAATGGATTCCCTACCGTCGAATTGAAGAAGGGGAGAAGGAATTCCATATCCGGAATCCACAGGTAGGCTTGGGCCAACTGGGGAGGGAAAGTTAATAAGCCTGTTCCCTCTACTGTATTTACTGATATTAGTCAGCTTTCTGTCACTATTACAAAATGCTTGACAGAGATAATCAACTTTTAAGAGATAAGGTTTATTTAGCTCACGTTTCTGGAGGTTCCAGTTCAAGATCAGACACTTTGGATGTCTGGTGAGGGTGTTAGATGCAATAGTAAGAGTATGTGGTGAAACAAACCCATTCACCTCATGAACCAGGAAACAGAAGAAAGGAAAAGACCAAGGTCTCACAGTCCCCTTCAAGGACGCATCCCCAATGTCACAGGGCTCTGTTACAGGTGCACCAGCGGGTAAGGGAGTGTGTGCAGGTGCTGAGGATCCTGCAGGAAGTCACTGCTGGGAGGACTGTCCTCAACATCTTGCCTGGTGGGTTGGATCTGATGACCTTGAAGGTATGGCAACAATTGGTAAGGCCCAGGGCCACATATGCATCATAACTTTCTTGGTTGCAGGTAATAAACCTGACTTACTAGCCAAAATAGAACTTCCTGGCTCACACAGCAGCAAAATCACAGGCAGATTTTAGCCCAGGATCTTAGACATTCTTATCAGATCTCTGTGGTCTTCTCTTCCTTCTTCTAGCTGTTTCTCTGTGTTCATGTGGGCCTCATTCTCACCAAATTCTCTCCTTTAGGCAAGAAAGATGATCTGGCAGCCCAGGCCTGTGTCTCAACTCAGAATTAAAATGAAAGGAAACTCTTTTAGCTTCCAGGTTGTGGTCTAGTGTAGGTTATGTGCCCCTCACGGGCCAATCGCTGTGTGGGAGGGAAAAGCTATTTTGACTGGCCTCACTGGGATGTATCTGGGCCAAGGGAACCTGAGCCACCAGGATTAAGGGCCACACCATGGCCATGTGGATAGAGGAGAGCTGGCTCATTCCCCAAAGGAAGGGCTGGTGAGGGGCAAACAACTTGTATGCAGGCTAATTCCTTTGCCACTTGAGCTTCTCCACCAGCCCTAATTTCTTCTTCTTTTCTTCTTCTTTTTTTTTTTTGTGTGGACATGGATAAGCAAATTGTTTAGTAAAAGTAAGCTGGTGACCATTGTTTGGATGCTGGCTGTGTACAGGACACTAGTAGGCACCAAGGCCTTGCTCAGCCCTGCATGGGCTTCAAAGGGGCAGAGGGCAAGAGTCTAACCCAAGCACCATGGACACCACATCTGCTCTGCTGGGACTCTCCCTAATTCCTTCTTTTGAGGAAATCTCAGGAACTCTCTTGGGAGGATATGAAACTATCCTGGCTATGGAATTGAGTACCTATGAAGGTAGTGTCCACTCCCAACTCCCAATCTTTTTTCCCCCAATATTAAAATAGTTCAGGCTCTGTTAGAGAACCAAGAAATCACGTAAAAGCATGAAGAAAAAAAACAACAATTTTTTTGATATTTGATGTTTGCCCTTCTGTTTATTTTTAAAATGCGTTAGTAATATGTATACATTTTTTTAAAATGTTATTTAAAACAAACTGTTTTGTGGCTCTTTTTTCACTTAGCAAAGCAGCGTCTTCTCATGCTAGTTAATGTTTTTCTAAGTCATATTTTTGTTTATTAACTTTTTTTTTGCGGTACTAGGGTTTGAACTCAGGGCCTTGTGCTTGAGCCACGCCTCTAGCCCATATGACATATTTTTAATAGTCATGTAATAATCTATTATGTGAATAAGAATGTTACTATATTGAGTACTTATGATGAGAGTTCCTCACATGAACTTAGGAAGTCAATACTATTACCTCTGTATAGTGAAAGAAACCAAGCATCAAAAAGGCTAAGTATCCACCTAAGGTTACTGAGCTAAGTAAGAGGTAGAGTCAGACATTAAACTGGGGCTTTCTGATCCCAAAGCCTCTTAGTAAATCTCTTTTAAAGGCTGTTGTGAGCTGGGCACTGGTGGCTCACACCTGTAAGCCTTGCTACTCAGGAGGCAGATAAGGAGGGTCAAGGTTCAAAGCCAGCCCAGGCAAATGGTTCGGTCAGACCCTATCTCAAAAAAGCCTCTCACAAAAAAAGAGTTGGTGGAGTGGTTCATAGTATAGGCCCTGACTTCAAACCCCAGGACTGTGAAATAAATAAATAAGTAAATAAATAAATAAATAATAAAGACTGTGGTAATAACCTCCAGGGAGAAACATCTGCCTGGGTCGCCAGTGGGTGAGGCAGAAGCTGGAATCTAGAGTGCTTTACCAACTATTTGGTGTGTGCCATAAGTTCCCTCCAAAGGCAGTGGCCCTGAACACTGCAGTGCAGGCCCTCATGACCTGTGAGCCTAAGATAGGCACTGGGGAATGGCAGGGTACAGTCCAGTTGGATTATTTAAGAGGCAGCCTTTTGGAGGAAATGACAGAATTTTTAAAAAAAGCTAAGTAACTTTTTACCTATCAGATTAAAATCCAAAAAATTGATTGTTTCCTCTGTTGAAAAGCTATTGGGAAGTAGATATCCTCCCACACTGAGAGTGAGAGTGCAGTTGCCCCATGGAGGGCAGTTTGGCAAGAACTATCAACACTATAAATGCACATATTCCTTGAGCTAGCAATTTTCAGTCCTGGGAATTCGTCCAATAATACCTGCACACATGCAGCATGGTGCATTGTCAGTGTTGTTTATAATAGCAGATAATTGCTAGGAGCCTAAAATGTTCACCGGTAGGAGAACTGGTTACTAGATGATTGAATAGACCCTGTCTTATTTGGGTAATGCTAATTGTTACAGCACCTAAACCTCCTAGCTCAGTGGCTTAATACTATAGATCCTTGCTTCTCTCCTACACAAAGTCCACAGGGCACCTGTGCAAGAGGCAACTCAAGGATTCAGGTTCCATTCATCTCAGGGCTCTACCCTCTTTCACTTGTGAATCCCAAATGTGCTGTGTACATTAAGCCAACAGAATGGGAAAGGGTTTGTCAGAGAGTTTTTATGGACCAGGCTTGGAAGTTTGGATACCACTTCTGCTCACATTCTGTCGGCTAGAATTCAGGCACAAAGCCACATTTAAATGCTGGGCAATAGTGTAGCTGTGTGTCCAGGGATAGATTTGGTGATCAGCCAGCTGTCTATTTCATGATGAAGTCAAATATAGCTGTAAGAGGATAAGGAAGCTCTTTCTGTACTAATACTATGATACGAAAATACTAGATACAGAACCTCTGTGGAAAAAGAGGAAAGAGTGTATATTCATGTTACTTGCATATGCAGAAGCAAACACCACACAGACACAAAAAACTGTTACCTGTTTGGGGGTAGGAAGAGGGTAGCTCTGTGGAAAAGAAACTGGGTCGGTGGGAGGCTTCTCTATATACTCCTGATTTTGGAGGTATATGAACATAGTTGCCTATTAAAAGGTCAAAAAAAAAAAAAAAAAAAAAAAAAAAAACTAAAGAGGCTATCCACCCCAGTTACTGACCTGAAAGTACTGAGCCTTGGGATAAAAACTGGGGAGAGCAAGGCTTCTGTGCAGAGACTGAGCCACAAAGCCTGGAGAGATTTCCGGAGTCCCTTAGCAGGCAGCTGCGGTGGCTTTTTATATAACCATACCCTGAAGGCTTCTGGGACAACCAGAAATAGATACTTGCAGTGCAGTTAGAGCAAACAGAATCACTGTCTCTTCCCCTGGGCTTTGGATAAAAATCAGGACAGATATCCAAAGAGGAAGTATAACCCAAGTTGGTTTCTGTACAAGCAGTCCTTGCTCCAGAGCAGAGGAAGGACAGCAGGAGCTTCCCTGTTCTCCCCTCTTGCTAGTGACTAGCACATGAGGCAGAGGCTGCCAAGGATGGAGAGAGCTTATTTATTCTTAGCATGCTCTTAGACTGATGAGCCAGTGTGGAACCTAGTAACTTCATTCCATTCATTTGATCAAATATAGTTGAATGTCAACCCTAGGCTAGGTTTTAGTTTAGTAGATGATAAGATTACAAAAGTAAAGATGAAAAGCATGTTTTTTTTTTTTTATTCATATGTGCATACAATGTTTGGGTCATTTCTCCTCCCTCCCCCCAAAAAGCATGTTTTTCAGAATTCCTACCTAGGAAGGCTTTTGACACACAGGATTGTTGGTCTGTTCTCCAGTAGGCAGGAGGCTCTTTGTTGTTTTTCATTTTATTTTGTGTTGCTGGGCATGCTAGACAATTGCTCTACCACTGAGCTACACCTCCACAGGTTCTTTTTTTTTTTGGTGGTACTAGTGTTTGAACTCAAGGCCTCATGTTTGCTAAGCAGACACTCTACCACTTAAGCCATGCCTGCAGCCCTTTTTGTTTTGTTTATTTTTGAGATAGGATCACACTTTATACCCCTGGATTGTAATCCCCCTATTTATAGGTCCAATGACAGGCATATGCCACTACACCCAGCTTTTTTTTTTTTTTCAATTGGTTGAGATAGGGGTCTCAAGAACTTTATTTCCCAGGCTAGCTTCAAATTGTAATCCTCCTGATCTTCCTTATCCTTAGTAGGCATGAGCCAAGTCACCCAGCCAAATATCAATAATTTTTTTTTTGGTGGTACTGGGGCTTGAACTCAGGATCTAAAGCTTGCTAGGCAGGTGCACTGCCACTTGAGCCACACCTCGGAGGTTCTTTTCCAAGGTTATTATTTATCTTTTTTTTTTGAAACAGGATCTCACTATATAGCCTAGGCTGGCCTTGAACTCATGATCCTCCTGCTTCATCATCCTGAGTGCTGGGATTTTAGGAGTATAACACCATGCCCAAACCAGACTTTTTTTTTTAAACATTTTTGTCGATGTTGTTTATTTTTGGGGGGAGGGGTTGTTGTCATTGTCTTCTTCTTCTCCTTAACCTTTTGTATTTTTCTTTTTCTTTTTTTTTTTTTTTTCAGTTTTTTTGTTTGCTTCCTGGTGGTATTGGGGATTGAATTCAGAACTTCACACTTGCTAGGCAAAAACTTTACCATTTGAGCCACGCCTCCAGTCTGAGTTTTTGGGGGTTTTGTTTGTTTCTTTGTTTGTTGAGACAGAGCCTTGCTTTGTAAACCAGGATGACCTGGAATTCACTATGTAGACCAGACTGGCCCCAAATTTGTGATCCTCCTGCCTTAACCTCCCGAGTGCTAAAATTACAGGCATATATCATCAGGCCTGGCTCCAGAGGTTTTTTTTTTTTTTCTTTGTTGGTACTGGGGCTGGCTAGGCAAGCTCTCTACCACTTGAGCCACACCCCCCCAGGCCCTCAGAGCTTATTAATAGTGTGAGTTTGATGGGGTCACTCACTATATCATGCCCTCACCTCGGTCCTTCACTATTTCTTCTTGCCCCTGAAAACTTCCTAAAAAAGCAGTCTTCAATTTCTGGCTCAACTAAATATTCTGCTTTCCTCAGGGCAGCATTGACGTGAACCGTGTGGCTGTAATGGGGCATTCATTTGGAGGGGCCACAGCTATTCTGGCTTTGGCAAAGGAGGCCCAGTTTCGGTGAGTTTCCCATTGTCGCTGTTGCTTGTAGCTCCACACGCCACTCATTTATTCATTCAGCAAGTGCTTGTTACACACAAGCATCATGTTCTAAGCACTGTTTGAGGGGCTGGGGATTCAGTGGTGATGGAGAAAACAAGATCTCTGACTTCATAGAATTATGTTATTATGATAGGAGACCATCCAGTAAAGAAGCTAACAGATAGTAGAATCTTCAATGAAGAAAGTAAAGTATGAGTTGGGTGTGGTAGCACACTGTAATGCCAGCACTCTGGAGACTTTGGAGGTGGATTGAGAGTTCAAGGTCAGCCTGGGCTGACCAGACCCTGTCTCCCATCCAAGTACTAACCAGGCCCCACCCTTCTTAGCTTCTGAGATCAGATCGGGTGCATTCAGGGTGGTATGGCCATAAACACCGTCTCAAAAATGAAAAATAAAACAGAACAAAAAACGAACCAACTAAACGGGCTGATATGTTAGAATGTTATCATGAGCAAGCTGTGTCAGAAACACAGATGAACACACTTATGTCTTTCCACAATGTCAGAATTTATTGGATAACAGTAAATTCACAAGCTATGGCAATTTCATTGGTATTAGTTTGCCAAGTACTACTGATTTTGCTTGATAGCCATGAGCCAGATGACAAATAGGTTCTTTTATCCTAAATTACTAATATTAATTAGTAATTATCATGGGGATAAAAGACCATACACTTCACAATAATACAGAAGTTACAGAATTGCTAAGAAAGAGTTAAACTAGCTGCAGGGGTCAAAGAAGCCTCGCTTCAGGCAAAAGCAGAGAGCTGATACAGGTGCAAAGAGAGTTAACTGTAGGTGGTTAGATAAGATACTAACCCAGTCACTGAGTTGTGAAACTTGGTAGTGTCAAAACACAGAGCTAGTTCAAGGCTGGTTCTAGGTTCAGAGCTGCTTCCCAGCTCAACTGGGCATTTGAGTAGGTCAGATTAAGCAAGGGGATAGAACTGAGCTGAAGCCCCAGCTAAAGAGTTGGGAATTCATTGCCTGTCAATCTGTGACCACGCACTGGCTGGTCTGAGGACAGCAAGTCAGTGTGTGCTGCCATACCACAGTGTTAGTTTTCCCTCCTTTCATATAACTAAGGTGAGGGGTTTCATCATTCCTTGGTCTGGTGTGTTTGGTAAGTTCCTGGGCCTGTTTTTTTCTGATATGCCCATGTGTCCAGGTGTTTCTGATTTAGTTTGGATAAGTTCATAGGTGGTAATATTTTATTTGCAAAATAAGCTATTTATCAGTCTGTGGTTTGTGCTGGACAGATGGTGGTTGTTTACTTGCACAAACAAGATGCAGAGTCATTCTGCCTCAGCATTTGCACTCAAAATGGAGCAAACTGCTGTTTTAGAAGATGGAGTCACTCAGAGCAAGGAACAGCCTGAAAGCTACTGTTCTATACAATATATACTAACTCCTCCTGTCTCTACTGCCCGAGTAGCTGGAACTACAAGAGTTAGGATTTCAAGTACAGGCTACCACTGGTGACATAATTTTGTCCTTGCATCTAGGAGAATTTTCCTGATCTCCCCTCCTGCATAGGCTCTAGACTCAGATAGCATCTTGTGTAATTAGGCATGGTTGGTTGATTTTGGCAGTACTGGGGTTTGAATTCAGGGCCTCTACCACTTGAGCCACTCTATCCGCCCTTTTTTGTGTTGGGTATTTTTGAGATAGGGTCTTGGAAACTATTTTGCCCAGGCTGGCTTCAAACCTTGATCCTCCTTATCTCTGCCTCCCAAGTAGCTAGGATTACAGGTGTGAGCCACCAGTACCCAGCATATATTGTTTTGTTACCTTTTCTGCTGTCTTCCCTGCTGGCCTGGGAACTCTTTGGGAATAACAACTCTGTCATTAATCTTTGTGTCTGAATACAAGGCTAAGCAACAGTAGATACTCAAAGAGTGTTGAGTGAGTGAATGATTAAATGAATAAAGTACCATTCTGCATACCTTGAGTCAGTCACCTGAGAGTAGATTCAGAGAAAGAGACTTGACCTTTGTTTTCAGGGAGTGTAAACTCTGTAAGGATCTTTGATGACAGGTAAAAAGGATCCCTATCCAAGATCCTAATTGAAGGGTGTGGGTCCTGGTACTCATTTCCTGGCTTTCTAAGCCTTCAGCCCACCAGAAGAGCCCCTATCTTTTCCCTATCACCCTAACTATTCTTACCTGGGTTTCTTTGTGGCAGCTCCAAATGTCTGGTCCTATTCCAGGTGTGCTGTGGCCCTGGATGCTTGGATGTTTCCTCTGGAACATGACTTTTACCCCAAGGCCAGGGGCCCTGTGTTCTTTATCAATGCTGAGAAGTTCCAGACAGTGGAGAGTATCAACTTGATGAAGAAGATATGTGCCCAGCATGAGCAGTCCAGGATCATAACTGTCCTGTGAGTAAGCCCCAAGGTCATGATTTCAGAGTCCTCTCTATTTTCCATCAGCTGTGGCTTCCTTAATTTCTTCTGGGTCATCCAGAACTTTCTACCCATTAAAAAAATACTTGAAGAGTACCTGAATTCCAAAATCTTAATTCCTTTAGAATTTCATATCAGTTCTTCTCTACTTAGCTCACCTACAGTGATTTCTTCAGTAATTTATATGCCTACACGATAGGGGGACTATGGGATGGTGTGTTGGAGAGGGAGTGTGGGTCTGGGTGGGTTCCAGAAATCTATAGCCCCAGTTGGGAATTTTATTGGAATTTTGGAAGAATGTGGACATGGACTTTTGCCATTTATCAGATTTTTAGAACATTCATGAATCCCTGCATTCACAGATATCTTTCTAACATATGCTTTCTTCCAAAAATAATTTATATTCTGGCCAAGAGAAGCTACATTTGCTTTGCTTTCATCACCAAAACTATTGGTTGGTTTTCTTTTGGGAGCCATTTTTCACAAAGCGAAGACTTTTTAGTGACTTTAAGACTTTGACTATATAGGATGTGATATGGAGATAGAGGCATGACTAAAATCTCCCTGACTTGTTCCTGCCCTGGAGCCTAATAGCACACATGCATCCAGGATTCCAGTTTCTATTTCAGGAGGAATCATTAAGGTGGTTGAAATGCCAAAGCCACTTCCCTGAACACCAGACTCTACTAATAGTGACTTTCTCCCTTGCCTGTCTTGGGTCAGGTTCTCTAGCCCTTCCTGTTTCACTTTGATTTCATGGCACCAAAGGAGACATGACTGCAGGAACATTTCTATAGGCCATTCAGTGCAAACAGTTGGGACCTGCAGAAAAGGGAGAGGAGAATAGTTGGGATAGGGTACACAATGGGGACTTAACTACTGGCAATGTATTATTTCTTAAACTGAGTGTTGTATACTCAAGTGTCTGGTATATTTATTGTTCAGTACACTTTCTTTGTGTGCCTTAAATAATGCTTTTTTCTTTTTTTAAGTCAGTTTTTCACGGCTGAGGATGTAGCTCAATGATAGTGCTTGCCTAGCATGCATAACATCTTAGGTTTGGTCCATAATACTACAAAAAAATATATAATCAACCAATCTGTTTTCTGCATGATAAAAGATAGATACTTTAGCATTTAAATTTCCCTCCCTCATTGGCTTGAGTAGTAAATGTAGTTATGAGTAGTTTAGCCCAAAATTTAACCTAGTGAGAATTTCACCTGCAAAGTAAATGTATTTAGAGGGCTAGGGTGGAGCACTTGCCTAGCATGCACAGGGCCTGGGTTCAATCCCAGCACTACAATGAGTGAATAAATGTGTTTAGAGCCAAAGAACTTAACCCCAAAACCCATTTCTACAAAGTTGCCGGGAAAATTACATGTGATAGTATTGGAAAGCACCTTATACATGGTAGGGGCTGGACATGTGTGAGTGCTTAACTTTCAGATTCCTACCAGTTGTTTTTCTTCTCCTCTAGTGGTTCTGTTCATCGGAGTCAAACTGACTTTGCGTTTATGACTGGCAGCTTGCTTGGTAAAGTCTTCTCTGCTCATACCCGTGGGAGCTTGGATCCCTATGAAGGTCAGGAGATCATGGTGCGGGCCATGCTGGCCTTCCTGCAGAAACACCTCGGTAAGGGAGAACTGGGATCCTTTCGTTTCTTTGTAGCACAGTGGTCTATCTTGACATGACTGGGACCCAAAGGATTTATGGCAAATGGAAAACTTGAATGAAGAACAGTTGTTTCCTCTTCAGGTCTCCATGTTTTTCTTTGTCCCAGTCTGCCGTTTTCCTTCTTTCTGTGCGTTTTTTCTCTTCCTGATAGCATCTACTCATTCAGTTTCTGTTTCCTCATAATTTTACTTGGCTTAAACCTCTTGTGGTTTGTTTTTTCTACCTTGTGGGTTTACAACTTTCCTCTTAAGTTCTCACTGCTCACAACCATATTTTTTTATTTCTTAGATCAAGAAAGCATTTAATTGTATCATCTTTGCTGTTAAAACACATTGTTGGCCACTTCCAGCTAGACCTGGTGCTCCCTTGATTAGAGGTCCCCTTTTTTTTTTTTTGCAGTCCTGGGGTTTGAATTCAGGGCCTACACCTTGAGCCACTCCACCAGCCCTTTGTCTCAAGAACTACTTGCCCAGACTGACTTTGAACTGCGATCCTCCTGATCTCTGCCTCCTGAGTAGCTAGGATTAAAGGCGTGAGCCTCTAGCACCCAGCTAGATGTCACTTTCTGATGCAGTCAGATGGGGAGTGATCCTGAGACTGTCCCCTCACAATGCTAGGGACAGGGCACTTCTGTCAGGAGGGGGTCAAGCTTGCCTGCACTGCTAAGGTTTGACCTAGCTCTCACCTGATAGCAAGATTGATACTCTGCCATTCCCCACGTCCCACTTTCCCTGGTTATCTCCTCAAGAACTGACCAGAGAAGCTTCATGTGGCACATGGCAGCGCTTTAGATATTCAGAGTCACCTCTGATGCTCATTAAGCTAAATGTCCATGGTTTCTGTAGCAGTTCTTTGTTCCCCATGTTGCCATTCATTTTTTCATTTGGATGCAGTTTTTCAGTGCCCCATCTTAAAGGGTGATGCCCTGACTTGAACATGACATCTAGATATGGTCTGACCAGCACCTGGTATTGCAAGGCTCTCATCTCTGTACTGTGGGCACTGGTTTTCTTTTTCTTTTTTTTTTTTTCCATAGTGGGGTTTGAACTCAGCTTGCTAGGCAAGTGCTCTATCAGCTAAGTCACACCCCCAGCCCTGGACACTGGACTTCTATCTACTTAGATGATCTGGGTGCATTCACAATTCCTACAAGTGTGCCACACATTTGAATTGGATTGAGTTTGCTTTATAACATATCTGTCCTGCCAGGTACAGTAGCTCACCTCTGTAATCCCAGCTACTCAGGAAGTAGAGACTAGGAGGATCGAGGCTAGCCCAGGCAAAAAAACCAGTTAGTGAGAACCGATCTCAATTGATAACCTGGGTGTGGTGGCATGTGCCTATCATCCCAGCTTCTTAGAGGTGTAAATAGGAAGATTGAGGACCAGCCCAGCCTGGGCAAAAACATGAGACCTTACTAGAAAAATAACTAAAGTACAAGGGGTGGGGGCGTGGCTCAAGTGGTAGAGTAACTGCCTAGCAACAGAAGGCCCTAAGTTCAAACCCCAGTACTATTAAAAAAAAATGTCCTATTATGAATGTGTTGATTTTGTTTTTGTTTTGTTTTTTGGTAGAACTGGAGTTTGAACTCAGGACTTTACACTTGCAAAGCAGGTGTTCTACCACTTGCCTCCAATCCATTTTGCTCTGATTATTTTCTTTTTTGTGGGGAGGGGATTGTGATATTGGGGTTCAAACTTAGGGCCTCTACCACTTGAGCCACTCTACTAGTCCTTTTTTGAGTTGGGTATTTTCCAGATAGGGTCTCTCAAACTATTTGCTGGGGGCTGGCTTTGAACCATTTTCCTCCTGACTCCTGAGTAACTAGGATTACAGGCATGAGCAACTGGCTTTTTTTTTTTTTTTTGGTGCCACTGGGGCATTAAGCCTTTGTTGATATTTTTAACTAAATTTGCATTCTTACATTTAAGCCTATTCATTTCATCTTGCACATCGTGAGCCATCTTCCAGCCTAACTTTAGGGTAATAGAAATATTAGAGCATCATTGTTCTTACCTGGCAGGAGGGGAATGGATCCACCTTGCAAGACTTGAGTGGTTCCTGGCGACCTCATCCTCAGCTCCCTTTCCCTGTTTCCTCTGAGGCACCATGCCATTATGAGAGCTGAAAATTAAAGATGATAGGGGAACCCACCGTGGCATGATTGGGTTCTCTTTAACAGCAATGCCTATTGAGCTGAGATATTCATTTGAGAGGCCAGTGGAGGAGGAGTTGGAAGGCAAGAGAGTAGACTGTAGGAAGATTGCCAAGGACTTGGTTTATTTATGCCAACGGTACTTACTCTGCTTAGTACTTTAGATGCGTTATCACGTGTAATTCTGAAGACAGCCCTTTCCACTAGGTACTTTTAATTATTAACTTCATTTTACAGGTGAAGATACTAAAACTTAGAAAAAGTAAGTAATTCATTCAGGTTATCTTGTTATTAAGTGACAAAGCCAATATGCAGCTCAGTCTGACCAGTGCTTCATCACTGCACCATTCTGTCAGTGACTCTGGTGATAAAATAGAGTGGTGAGTTCATGACCACAGTATGTGCGTAGGGAGATGAAAGGACAGACACCTAACTGGTGGGAGAGGAACTATAGCCAGGAACGGCGGCTCTCTTGACAAAGCAATGCTTGCCTTTGATCTTCATAGATGAAGAAAGTAGGAAAAGGGCCTAGGTCTTTTGGACAGAGGCACAAAGGCTTGCCTGGGCGTGGTCAGTTTGGGGAAACAGTTTAGTGTGTCTGGAGTTTTGGATAGTGAATTGTTGAAAGTTTAAGGTAGAGAAGAGGGCAGAAGCCAGATGTAGAAGCCCATGTATGTGCTGAAGTAAGTTTGAATTTTATTCCACAGGTTGTAAGGAGCCCTTGGTGGTTCTAAGCAGGAGAATGTCATGATTAGACTTGTGTTTGCAGTCTGACTGCATATAAGGATGGGTGAGATGTGTTGAGAAGCAGAGAGCTTAGGTGGGAGCCTCTTGGAGTAATACAGGTGATAAGAGTTAAGGCAGAGTCTGAATAAGACTCTGGGCCTGGACTAATTCATGTCACAAAGAGAGAAAAGCTTTTTAGTGGCACATACTACAGTTGTTGTCACATGGGCAACTAAAATGGACCATAGGTGGCTCAGCTGCACCTCTTACTCCTAAAAAGACGTGCTGATTCAGGGTGTTCCCTTCCAGTAAGATCGCTGTTTCCTTCATATTAAGTACACACGGCTCCTATCTCTACCTCCCCATCCTCCCTCCCACGCTCCTGGAAAACAGTTTCACACTTTCCCTTCTTCAAGCCTCCAGCACCTCTTCCCTCAGCCTGTCTCTCAGCTGAGTAATTCTGCCTCCCACTTCACTGCAAAGGGGAGCCACTGCAGTTCCTCACCTCCTCATCCACACACATGTACACACACCATATCCGCCCTCCATGTACACACACCATATCCACCTCCATTACACACACCATATCCGCCCTCCATGTACACACACCATATCCACCTCCATTACACACACCATATCCACCCTCCATTACACACACCATATCCACCCTCCATGTACACACACCATATCCACCTCCATTACACACACCATATCCGCCCTCCATGTACACACACCATATCCACCTCCATTACACACACCATATCCGCCCTCCATGTACACACACCATATCCACCCTCCATTACACACACACCATATCCACCCTCCATGTACACACACCATATCCACCCTCCATGTACACACACACCATATCCGCCCTCCATTACACACACCATATCCACCTCCATGTACACACACCATATCCACCTCCATGTACACACACACCATATCCACCTCCATGTACACACACCATATCCACCCTCCATTACACACACCATATCCACCCTCCATGTACACACACACCATATCCGCCCTCCATGTACACACACACCATATCCGCCCTCCATGTACACACACCATATCCACCTCCATGTACACACACCATATCCGCCCTCCATGTACACACACCATATCCACCCTCCATTACACACACCATATCCACCCTCCATGTACACACACCATATCCGCCCTCCATGTACACACACACCATATCCACCCTCCATTACACACACCATATCCACCCTCCATGTACACACACCATATCCACCCTCCATTACACACACCATATCCACCCTCCATGTACACACACCATATCCACCCTCCATTACACACACCATATCCACCTCCATGTACACACACCATATCCGCCCTCCATGTACACACACCATATCCACCTCCATGTACACACACCATATCCACCTCCATGTACACACACCATATCCGCCCTCCATGTACACACACCATATCCACCTCCATGTACACACACCATATCCACCTCCATGTACACACACCATATCCGCCCTCCATGTACACACACCATATCCACCTCCATTACACACACCATATCCACCCTCCATTACACACACCATATCCACCTCCATGTACACACACCATATCCACCCTCCATGTACACACACCATATCCACCCTCCATGTACACACACCATATCCGCCTCCATGTACACACACACCATATCCGCCCTCCATGTACACACACACCATATCCGCCCTCCATGTACACACACACCATATCCGCCCTCCATGTACACACACCATATCCGCCCTCCATTACACACACCATATCCGCCCTCCATGTACACACACCATATCCGTCCTCCATGTACACACACCATATCCGCCCTCCATGTACACACACCATATCCACCCTCCATGTACACATACACCATATCTGCCCTCCATTACACACACCATATCCACCCTCCTGCCTGCAGACTCAGCTTCCTTCACTCCCAGAGTTTCCCGCTCAGTTGTCCTGCTAAGGCCATCCTTCCACTCACCCCAGGTTCCATCCTCTTGACTGTTGGTGATGATTGATTGCTCCAGCAATTCTTTTCTCTTTAGATGGTTGATGTTTCCTTCTCTGCTGTTTCATTTCATGCCAAAATTTTTCTTACCTTAAAAACAAAACAAAAAAAAAACAAAAAAAAACCAAACAAACCCCACAAAACTCTTGGGGCTGGCCAGGGAATGAAGGGGTACATACCTTTGGTAGCGCACTTGACTAGTATGCATGAGGTCCTGGGTTCCATCACCCCCAAAAAAAAAAACCAAAAAACTTTTTACCTCAGTATCCCCTCCAATTACCACCACATTTTCCCATTTCCCATACCAGCAAAACTCTTCAACAGAATATCTTCACTTTGTCTACCTCCTCTCTTCCCATTTTTTCTTGAATCCACTTCAGCCAGGCTTTTGCCACACAGTGCTTCATCAAAACTGCAAAGGTCAAGGTCCCCAGTGACTTTCATGATGCTAACTCCTTAACCAGTTCTTTCCTTCTCTTACTGAAATTCCCAGCACTCCTAAGAGTCAATGACTCTCTTCTTTGAGAAACTCCATCTTTGCTTCTAAGGTAGCACACTGTCTCCTATCTCCATATCTGCACCTCTTAAGCCAGCTTTGCTACTTCTGGGGGGGTCAGTGCTTGAACCTTGGCTTAGTCTATTTTCTGTTGCTTTAACAATATGCCTGAGGCTGGGTACTTTATAAAGAAATGAGGCTTATTTAGCTCACAGTTCTGGAGGTTGACGAATATAGCACTAGCTCAGTACTTCTAGTTACTCAGGTCAGAGTCTTTATCCTTGTCTCCTTACATACCTCCTAACCAGTCTTTCAGATATTCCTATTGGCTCTACCTTCAAAATACACATGGAATCTGAGCACTTGTTGCTACCTCTATAGCCACCATCCTGTTTAAGTCATCTCTTATCTAAATTACTACAATAGTTTCCTAACTGGCCTCCTGCCTGTTCCCTTTTCCCCCTGTACAGTCTTCTCTTAATAGAGTAGCCAGAGTAATCCTTTTAGGAAGTAAGTCAGATCTTTTCACTCATCTGCTCAAAATCCTCTAATGGCTTCCACTTCTCTGAGAATCAAGGCCAGAGGCCATCATCCTTCTGTGATGTGTCTCTCCAGTCCCTCCTGGTCTCTTCCCTTGCTGATTCCTCTACTTGGGACATTCCTCCCTGGTAATCTCCTGGCTCACTCCTACCTTCTTCAAGTCTTTGCTCAGATCTCATCTTCTCAGCAAAAGCCTACCCCTGATCACACTTTTTTTTTTGTGGTACTGGGATTTGAACTCAGGGCCTGACATTTGCTATTTGCTAGGCTGACACTCTTACCACTTGAGCCACTCTGCCAACCCTTTTTTGTGATGGACTTTTTTTTGAGATGGTTTCCTGAACTATTTGCCCAGGGCTGGCTTTGAACCACAATCGTCCTGTTCTCTGCCTCCTGAGTACCTAGGATTACAGGCCACCAGCACCCAGCCTGATCACCATTTTTAAACTTCTCCCACCTCTAGCCATCACCACTGCTTCCCTTATATGCTGAATATTTTGGGCTTTTTTTTTTCTTTTTCTTTCCCTAGCATTGTGCCCTGTTCATATCCTATATAAATTATTGTTTGTTATTTGTCTCTACCCACTAGATTATGAGTTCTCTGAGGATAGGGGTTCCTATATGTTTTGAACATATAGCACCAGGAACAGACTATAGCACACAATAGGCATGTTCTTTTTTTTAGACAGGGTCTCACTATATAGCCCAGGCTGGCCACAAATTCCCAGTCCTCCTCCTGTTTCCACCCTCTGAGTGCTGAGGTTACTTACATGTGTGTCCCACGATACCTGGCTTTTTTTTTAAATATGGGGTCTTGCTATGCTGCCCAGTCTAGCCTTAAACTCCTGGGCTCAAACAGTCCTCCTATCTCAGCCTCCCAAGTAGCTGGGATTACAGGTGTGTACCTTTGTACCCAGCTTGAATTAATGAATATGTATTAGGTGTTGAGGACTTGTTCCCACCAAGTTCTTGTCAGGGAACTGGTGTTCTGAAGGTGAATGAGAGTGGTCTCTATCTCTGTCCCAGGTTCTGTTTGCTTTGAACAAGGACACCATTTGCCTGCTCCGTTGAGTCCTGCTTCCTTGGCCTAGGGCTTGGGCCCTTTCTATTCTTGCCATGTGGTTAGACCCATTTGCCTCTGATCCCAAACCCTCTTTTGAAGCAAGCTTGAGTTTCACACTGCTTTCTGATGTTGCTGCTTTGCTGCTTCTACCCTGAGGCATCACTGGACTTGCATCCACTAGATGTAGCTCCAGTGATCTCTTTATGCTCAACAGTGTCCCTGAGCTTAGAACTAGTAAATGTTTCATTTTCTCCGCTTTTCTGACGTGGGTTTAAATTCTGTTAATTTAAAGTGGTTTAATACCACTTATCAGCTGTAATGACCTTGGGCAAAACAGCTTCCCTGAGCCTCAGTTTCCTCAAGTATAAAATAGGGCTAAGAATAGTACTTAGTGCAAAAGACTATTGTGAAAATTACATGAAACATTGCGTGAACACCGTTTGGCACAGCCATTTGAATGAATTCTCCTTCAGTTTGTGTTACCCTCTGTTGCTATTATTATTGAGCTACCATAAATCAGGTATATCATTTATAAAGGCACTGAATAAGTAGTAATGATCTTCATTACTGCTGTCACCATCACAAGCACAGAACCAGTCCTTTGGTATCCAGGTGCTCCTCCCTCACTGAATCTGTGATAACTACTTGCTACTCTTTGACCTAACCTTACAATGATTTGCCTAACCTTCTTGTTTTTAACCCATTTAGACTTGAAAGAAGACTATGATCAATGGAATGACCTTGTTGAAGGCATTGGACCATCACTTACTCCAGGAGCCCCCCACCACCTGTCTAGTCTATAGGCACAACTGGCCTTTTGTAAGAGGTCACTTGAATTGAGTTCCCATTTGGGGGCTGCCCAGGAGCACCCATAACCTATCAGAAAGTGGTCAGCATGACCTTTTTCTACAGATTGAGAGGATGTAATCACACTGCTGATTGGATAACTGTATACTTTGATCTTGGACTTGTTGGTCTTAAACTCGAATTGGGACATGAATCACAGACTGATGGGCAAATTGACTCTCCAGGGCCTGAGCCTTGATGGTGTAGGGAACAAGAAGTGGGGTGGGGCAGGGGAGCTGAGCCTGAACAATCAAGACTTACTCTGATAAGCCTGCTTCCTCACATTGGGCCAGTGTTGCCTCCTTAGTAGAAGGGATGAAGTCAAAGGGCAGAATGAAAGTCTTCAGGGCCTCCAGTCCTGCCTGGCACTCTTGTCTCCCTACTTTTAAGCCTTCTCTCTCCCTAGGGACACTTGGTGATTAGTGAGCACTTTCGGTAACTTTCTAGACAATGGTTCATCCAATTTTCCATTTTTTTATTTTTTATTTTTTGTCTTTTCTGTTGTGGTGCTGGGATTGAACCCAGGGCCTCACATATTCTAGACAAGCGTTCTACCACTGAGCTACATCCCAGCCCTCCATTTATTTTCATGTCTTCCTATTGTCTGAAACACAGTATGGGCACTTAGCCATTACTCAGTTATACTTATGAGCCCATAATGGGGCAGAAAGTATTATTATTCTCATAACTCAGAAATGCCAAGGAACAAAGGGATACCTCAGCAACTGAGACACGTGTTTTCGGAGTTTTGCTAAAAATGTGTGTTGTCAGAAAACAACATGAGTAGGTTGAGATGAGCAGGTAGAAAAACAGTGCCAAGTAGCTATTTGCATAAGCCCTTGCCACAAAAAAGAGCTGGGTTGGTCATCTCAAATTTGAGAGGCCACTGCTAGAGATCAGCTTGGTCTTACCTCAAATATCATGAACCATCAATTTCCTCAGAATCAGAATGCTTTAGTTGTCTTTTTTCTTTTTTTTAGCTCTGATGCATTCGCTCCAAATTTAAGTCAGGATATAGACCCAATTTTCATTCTGTTCCATTTATAATTTGAATGATATTGATACTCGCGTTTGCCTAATGATTTTGGAAGATACTCTATTTAATCTGCATTAGAACAAGATGAGGAGCCATCTGGAAGTGACTTTTCCTTCCTTCTGTATTTCTTTGTTCACTAACTACATGGGCCCTACGGAAAAGTCTTCGTAAGGAAAGGAAGTCTTTATAGAAATCTAGTTCCAAGCTGTGTAAGAACACCAACTTGAAACTCCATCTCCTCCACTTGACTTCTTGCTTTGTGTGGTTCCAAATCTCAGCACTCAAGAGGCCGAGGCAGGAGGATTGCAAGTTCGAGGCCAGTCTGGGCTGCATAGCAAGTTCCAGGCCAGCCTGAACTACACAGACCCTCTGTCAAAAACAAACAAACAAAAAAAGACTTCTCACCTCAGTCCAAGGAAGAGACCCCTGAGAAGAAAATGCAAAGGGAAATGCATCTCTACACAGTTGTCCAAGGTCAGGGTTACCAAAACAAGCTGGAAGAGCTACGAATTCAAGTGTATACAGCATCAGGAGTATATACTTGATACCTGGGCTCTGGAGTTATATAGCCTACTTTTGAGTTTTGGCTCTACCACCGCTAACTGGGTCAATTTGTGCAAATTATGTTCTTTCCAATCTCAGTTCCTGCATTTCTAAAATGAGGGCCTTGATTATGAATCGTGGGGAGGATTGAGAGGATCAAGGATTATTAAAATGCATGTTTCCTACTTTGCAGACACATGAGGGTTTTCTAGTTATAGTTGCTATTTTCTAGATTAATTTCTTTGTAGCAGGAGAAAATGACCCATCTGATTTCCTTCCTTCAAGATTTGTTTACTCCATGTACAACAATAATTAAAAAAGGATTTGTTGAACCTTGACCTGGTGTTGTGGTACACAGCCGTAATCCCAGCCACTCAGGAGTGGAGGCAGGAGAATCTCAAGTTTGTGGCCAGCCTGGGCAAAGTTAGCTAGACCCCATCACAAAACAAAATACAGAGGACTGGGAGCATGGTTTAAGTGGTAGAGTGCTTGTCTAGCAAACATGAGGCCCTGGATTCAAGTCCCACTACTGCAAACAACAAAAAGATTTGTGAAACTTGATTGCTAGCCCAATGTGATTTTGTAAATGCTCCATGCATGTTAAAATGTCTGTCTGTTCTGAAGTTGTGACTTGCTCTTGTCCTCAACGTCACAGCATAGATTTCCTTCCATGACAGCATATGCAGATATATAATGGGGCCCTCTGATCCCCGTATGGGGACCAGAGCCCCTCAGCACTCAGAACCAGCCCTAGGCCAACCCTGACAGGTTGCCACCCTGGACTGGTTCTGCAAGTGCTGAGGGGCCAGCTCTGGTGGCAGTAATACCTGAGACCCATAAGTAAAGCAGGTATGTTTTGTAAAGCCATGAACAGGAGACCTGGAGCCTCTCAGGAGAAAGGAGTTACTCAGGAGCTGGACGCCTCCTCCATTCAGTTCATGTTCTGGTTTATCCAGCAACCTTGGAGTAAGTGAATTTTCCATCTAATTGAAAATTATCCTTTAAGCCATAAAAGTATTGACTCTTTTGAATGGTAATTACACACATTTTAAAAAAAAATTGTTGTGCTGGGGGTACATTGTGGCATTTACAAAAGTTCTTACAATATATCAGATATAGCACAGTTGAACTCATCCCCTCCATCATTCTCCTTTATCCCCCCTCCCCCCATTCCTAGAATAGTTTTAACAGTTCTCATTTTTCCATTTACGTAAATGTATACACAGTATTTGCACTTTCTCCACATCCTCCCCCTCCCACTAGTATCAAACCCCCAGACAGGACCTGTTCTGCCCTCCTGTTCTCTGATTTTGTAAAAGAAATGATATTTCTTGTCTGTTTAAGATAGCTATACAAGGAGTTTCCTTGTGACATTTCCATGTATATATGTATTATAACCCATATTAGTTCATCTCTCTTTTTCTCCTTTTTACTTTAGTCCCCTTACACACACTTCTTAAAGTGAACTGACCACTTTTTTGAGGGGGATATGTCAGAATACACTAGATTATATGATGGTAACAGCAACCCCCCAAAAGCAATAAAAGTTTAATTCTTGCCTGTGCTACTTGTCCTCTGTGGGTCAGCTGCAGGCTCTGTTCTGTGTCATTTCTTTAAATTTTTTTTTAATTTTTATTTTATGTACGTCGGGTGGATATGGTCTTGGATAATCCACTCAAGGAAGATCACTTAGTCCAACTTAATGAAGCCATTGTCTTTCACATACTGATAGAACACTGCCTGCACACATTGAGTCCATGTTTCTAGACCAGTCCATGCCAGATTGAATGCACAAGGAAGAACTAGAATGCTGGCCAAATTTTCAGGGGTGACTCCAGTAGAGTTGCTGGTGACTCATCTTGCTTTCAGATGTCCAATGAAGAAAAAGAAGAGCAGTTCTGTGCCATTTTTATCCTCACCTGGGATCTAGGCTGGTGGAGCTCCCATTTTCTGGAAGTGCTGCTGGTCACTGTATAGGCATTGAAAGAAAACATGGTATGTTTATTGCGGCACTATTCACAATAGCCAAGTTATGGAAACAGCCAAGATGCCCCACCACTGACGAATGGATTAAGAAAATGTGGAATCTATACACAATGGAATTCTATGCAGCCATGAAGAAGAACGAAATGTTATCATTCACTGGTAAATGGATGGACTTTGAGAACATCATTCTGAGTGAGGTTAGCCTGGCCCAAAAGACCAAAAATTGTATGTTCTCCCTCATATGTGGACATTAGATCAAGGGTAAACACAACAAGGGGATTGGACTATGAGCACATGATAAAAGCGAGAGCACACAAGGGAGTGGTGAGGATAGGTAAGACACCTAAAAAATTAGCTAGCATTTGTTGCCCTCAAACGCAGAGAAACTAAAGCAGATACCTTAAAAACAACTGAGGCCAATAGGAAAAGGGGAAAAGGTACTAGAGAAAAGGTTAGTTCAAGAAGAATTAACCTAGAAGGTAACACCCACGCACAGGAAATCAATGTGAGTCAACAGCCTGTATAGCTATCCTTATCTCAACCAGCAAAAACCCTTGTTCCTTCCTATTATTGCTTATACTCTCTCTACAACAAAATTAGAAATAAGGGCAAAATAGTTTCTGCTTGGTATTGAGGGGGGGAGAGGGAGGGGGCGGAGTGGGTGGTAAGGGAGGGGGTGGGGGCAGGGGGGAGAAATGAACCAAGCCTTGTATGCACATATGAATAATAAAAGAAAAAGAAAAAAAAAGAAAACATGGTAAAGCCAAGCGATGGTTGCTAAACACCTATAATCCTAGCTACTTGGAAGGCTGAGATCGGGAGGATCACAGTTCAAGGCCAGCCCGGGCAAATGGCTCCTGAGACCCCCATCTCCAAAATAATGAGAGCAAAATGGACTGACGGTGTGGCTTAAGTGGTAAAGTGCCTGCTTTGCAAGTGTGAAGCCCAGAGTTCAAATCCCAGTCCTACCAAAAAAACTCTAAAGCTTCCTCCTAGAAGTGATACTCACTATTTCCACTCATTTCATAAGCCAAAGTGTGTCATCTAGTTATTCCTAATATCCATGCCATCACAAGAGAACTGAAATAATTGTGACCAAGCCTCATATCAGAGAATTGGGACCTTCTGGTCTGTGGTGTGGAGAACTGAACCTGTTAGGTTTTTGGGTTTTTTTTTGGAGGGCAGTGCAGATTGTGGTTTTGTTTTAGGCAGGATCTGCTTTGTAGACTAGGCTGGCCTCACTCATGATCCTCCTGCCTCAGCCTTCCAAGGGCTGGGATTACAGGCATATACCCCCACACCTGGTCATATCCTAGTTCTTTTGATTGCTTTTGAATTTGTGTTGCTTCCCTTGTTGGTCAGGCTGCCTGCTCTTCAGAGCCTTTTATATGCCAGGTGATATCCATCTTCCCTGTTGACATCAAATTTGTGACTCATTGTGCAGTGGACTGAGAAATCAGCTATGTTATTTGAAAGTGCATGTGCAAGAAAGCTAAAAGCTAGGTAGTCACTGAGAGGGTTTTGGGGGCTCTCCTGCCACTAAAATGCATTGCCTTTAGTTCAGGGACATTGTAGTCTCTCCTCTGATTGCTCAGAACTACTGCCAGGCCTTTGGTCATTTGTTCTAGTTTTTGGTTATCTTCCAGCGAATCAAAGGACAGCAGATAAACAGCCTTTCCATAAGCAAAGAGATCCTGATACTAATCGACATGTACTTGCTAGCTGCAATATAGGAAATCTTTTCCAGAAACATGTGTTGGGTTTCTTTTGCATCCTCTGGTTCCCTATCCCATTGCAGGATCCTAGTAGGATATTGTGAAGGCATGAAATGGCATTTCAGTTGATGGAAAGAAGTAAGTACAAGATGAAATGAGATTCCTCATCCCTCTCCCTTCCTGGACTTGTCAGCCTAAAGCCTCTTGGATTCTTGCAGTGTCCCCAAACCCCTTACCACTGTGAGACCAGACACAGCTGCCTCTTTCTCCCTTCCTCAAGAAGACTACTGGGGGCTGGCGAAGTGTCTCAAGTGGTAGAGAGCCTGCATAGCAAGTGCAAGGCCCTGAGTTCAAACACAAGTACCACCAAAAAAAAAAAAGAAGAAGAGGAGGACTGCTGGACTCTTAAAATGTCAGATGGTAGATTCCTGTGGGAACCTTCATCTGTGTCCCGCTTCTGGGGTACCACTTATCTCTAGGCCACAAAGTGACAGAGAACAGGAGAGTCTCTATACTTGGGACTCATTCTCATTAGGAAGCTCATTTTCTGTCCCATCACTGCCAGATGAGGTGCAGAGGCCAAGTGTTTTGGTAAAATGCAATGATGATGACAATAATCCTAACAGCCAACATTTCTTGGGCCCATCCTGTGTGTGAAGGAAATGTACTCAGTGCTCTGCATGCATTATCTCATTTTGTTTTCACAGTGGCATTCACTTCAGTTTATGTATGAGGAAGCAGAAGCTTACAGAAGTGATTTCATCTGGCTGTTGTCTAGAATTTGGCAAAGCTATGGCTTAGGCATTAGAATTCAGGCTCTTTTTTTTTTTTTTAAGGTACTATGTATTTTTGTTTACAAGTTTTTTTTGTTTGTTTTTGTTTTTTACCTGAGACTCTTTTTATTTTTTATTTATTTATTTTTATTTGGGTCTGCCCAATGTAATCTTTTTTTTTTCTTTTATTATTCATATGTGCATACAAGGCTTGGGTCATTTCTCCCCCCTGACCCCACCCCCTCCCTTACCACCCACTCCGCCCCCCTTCCTCTCCCCCCCCAATACCCAGCAGAAACTATTCTGCCCTTATCTCTAATTTTGTTGTAGAGAGAGTATAAGCAATAACAGGAAGGAACAAGGGTTTCTGCTGGTTGAGATAAGGATGGCTATGCAGGGCATTGAATCACATTGATTCCTGTGCATGGGGATTACCTTCCAGGTTAAGAATTCAGGCTCTTAATCACTGGGTGGTGGTACCTAACGTACATACTTGTTTGTGCACTTGCCCCTGTTTCTTTAAACTGTCAAGGGATGGGTAATATAATTCATGATAGATTGACTCAGAAATACCGAGATTTCTAGCCTTTTCTGTATGACCTGTATTAGGTTTCAGTGGTATACTCAGTGCTATTAAGAAATGGGTTGGGGGAGAGAACAACATCTCGCTGAACACTGTGAGCCAAGTGCCCTGCAGATTTGGGGAAAGCAGTTCAGGGATTAAGAATGTGGACTTCAAAATCAGACAGCTCCCACACTGCTAGCCCTGTCACCTTATGCTAATTTGTTAACCTCTATGAACTTCTGTTTTTCACTTGTAAACTGAGAATTCTAACAGTGTTTGCCTCATAGTGTTGAGATCATTAAAGTGATGTATGGCAAGCACTTAGCTCAACAGCTATATTAAGGGCTCAGGAGACATGAGCTATCAGTACTATTGTTCTGTTTGGTCCTCCTTATGTACTTAATAAGGTTGGATATAAT